CGTTAAGAAACGCAAGGTGTGACTAACGATAAGATAGACTAACGATGTATGATAATGGAGCTTCGGCGCGGGTCGACAAAGGATTTCACAAGGATTGAATGCGTCAGGAATTCGCGATAGGTTTTTGTTCAAGCTCGAGCTTTCAGAGTCCTTTGTCTCGGGACAAGTAAAACGTAATGTAATTGGAAAAATTCAAGTCGATTGCACTGCCGATCGCTAACAATGTCGCTGTATCTCAGTCGTTCGATCGTCGTATTGCTCGGCCGGGCGTGACGAAGAGTCTGTCGCGTGAACAGTTCGTGCAGTGTTCTCAACTAGATAAAAACCGGATCGGTGAACAATATCGTTCGTCATCGGGAGAAGAAAGAGTTGCTCGTCGAGAGAAGAACATGCTCCAGTGAGGAGAAGTTGAACAACGTGGCGGGCTTCACCGTGGCCGTGAACAATGGCTCCGCGGAGCCGGCTTACTACGTGGATCGGTTGCACCAACAGAGAGTACAGGTGCAGCAGCAACATCAGCAACAATATTGTCAACAAGCGAACAGGTACGCGGCGCAACCGAATCACGTCCCGGGTAAAGAGATCCTCGAGACACCGCGTAGGGATGACTTGGTGTACGTCCACTGCGCCACAACGGAGGACGAAGAGGAGGAAGAGGAACCGAAAGGGTTGACCAGGTCCAGGTCGTGGCTCTGCTGTCCCGGTGATCGCACCTCCGACAAGACCGTCCCTATTCAAATTGACAACGGTCACAGGGACAAGCAGCAAGAGTCAGTAAGTTAGGAACTCATTTCGAAACTTGTATCGAAAGTGTGTCAACGTTTGGTAAACGAATCGATCTTGTCAGTCGTTATTGACCATCCGAATATGTGATCAGATTTAATCAGGAGATTTCCCAGCGTTAAATATTCCGAATCTGTCTAGCAATCTTCGTGACAGCAGCTACTGAAATCATAATTCAGGACTTAAGCCCTCGTTCAATCCTCCGCGATCGATTCAACTTGTTTCATCAACTTCTCGCTTCTCGTGAACTTCGATGATTTTCAAGTTTATTCCCATGTCAATTAATATCGGGATCGGTGGATGCCTCTGAATATTTTTGCTCGGTAATGCGAGATGGGGGCGACAGGATTCGACGCCGCGTCAACGAAACGCGGACAAGCTTTCCAGAGGCGAGAAGAGCGTTCCGACATCCGATAATGGAGTTTTGTAATTTTTGCCGGTGTCGTGTGCGATTCAAAAGCCGGGGACGGGAGTGGATCGGGGGCCGTCTCTCAGGAACAGGACGATGTTTCTGTCCTTCCGGTTCTCTCTTCCTCTCCGAAACGTCTCGTTCATTTTTTATCCCTCTCGTCTTCTCCGTGCGTCACGTTTAGATTCTTTTCCTCTCTCGTCTCCTCTTATTTTCCCCGTTCGGCTTTTCCCTCTATTCCCCTCTCGCTCTCTCAGCGAGCAGCCTCGTCAAGCTCGATCCCGTTCATCTGTTCGTTGTCTCCGTCGGCCTCAGCCCCCTCGTCTGTCTCACGTAAGCTTATGCAGAATCGACTACTACCCTTTAAACTTTAATCCGGCTGGAATAGAGCGACGGGGTTAACCAACCGGACGATCGATTTCACAGTGGAATCTCAAATAAACTTTCGTCCCCGTAATTTCGTTTAGTCCGACGCTGCCACTCCCGTCTGATACCATATTTTCCGTCAAATCTCCCAAATGCGCGTCTGTCATTGCTGATTTCTTTCTTTCTTTCTTTCTTTCTTTCGTCCGTTCCCAATATAGAACGGATCGATCCCTTGTCTACGTGTCTTGAGGACTACCGATTTTTTGTATGAAAAACGAAATCTGCTGATTATTTTCTTTAATACTTTAAATAAAATTCGCAGTGTATGAGATGACTGGAGAATCTATTTTTGTATGAATGTATAATATGTATGTAATTAATGTATGTATGTAAAATTGTATGTATGTTTGTATGTATAAAATGAAAAATGAGAAAGTATTATATTATTGCATAAATAGGTCTTTGTTGAGGTAGAACTTTGAAGAGTCTCGACTTTGGTGCACGCGACCAATTTCGGAAAATACTATTGTGGCTGGGCTAGTAGATTAGGTACACATATTAGAGGGTCCTCTAGACGCAAGAAGTCGGGGCTGCCATTTCACAGGCAACCCGCCTGCATCCAGTCAGAATAGACGCGTGTGCGGGTTACCTCTTTTGTACCATAGCTGCTGGTACAAAAGGGCCGCTTGAAACCATGCGCTCAACCCTTAGACCCGGTTCGTCTTCGTTCAACGATCTTTACCCCCTTCGGATCAAAACGGGTAAGCTCGCTGATCTCTTTTGTTGACCACACAAAGGGAAAAAGGGTGCTACGGAGGATGGGTCAAGGAGAGGTCCACTTGACCCTTCAACGGATTACCAGACCCATTTTTATTGGCAAAATCGAATTACAAGCTATGTGTACCGTTGATGTCGTTATGAATTCTATCGATGAAGAGTAGCAAATGTTATCATGAAACTCGCTGGTGCATCGATAACAAAATTGTTGCATCCCTCCAAATGAAACGTGATACGTTTTACAATGAAAGCAATTTTGTACGCATCCATCGCTTGTTACCGTCGCATTCGGCTTCACTCTGCAGCGGACAGAGGTAACGTTTCTTGGAAAAAGCTAGTTTTTTATCAGATGTTAAAGTAAGTCTCGAGTTTCTAAATCGCGTTCACTGGCGTGAATCTCGACGGGAAGAGACGAGTACGAGACCAACAGGTGCCTTCTTTCACTACAGAATTCGAGTTTTTAAGGCAAACGCACCGGTGGAAAGGTGCAAGGTTGCAAACGAAACTTGAGAAAACAGCGAGAGCTTATCGAATCGAACGATGGATCGATCGACGTGCCATTTGCATTTTAACACTGATACGCCTCTCGCGATTTCCATTCGAAACGACCATCAATCTTACAGTTTTGCAAGGAACATGACTCTGATTGTATTACGAATCGGTCGTAATCGACAGGACTGAAAAGTTTGAACAACGTCAAACTTTCCCTTCATCGACGAGACTCGTCCGCCTCCAGTTTCCAAGTAATTTCGTGTATCAAAGCGGATTCGGTCTGGGAGGAGGTATCTGGTATATTCGACTGTCGAGAAAGTTGATGCCCCACCCGCGATCGCCCTTGTCGCCGAGCTTTACACCACTTTACCGCAATTTCCGGTATCGCTTTACGAGCTACGCGGCGGTGGACGTCTCGCGAGAGAGACGAGAAATTCGGTATACGTGGCACGGTACGGTGCTCGGGAGCGCGTGCGTCGAGAAGAACACGAGAAGGGAACACGAGAGAAGCCCGTGCAACCTGTCTTCTTCGGTAATCACCTCGTGAGTCATTGCGAAGAATTCGCGCGACCTGACTGGTTTCCCTCGACGCCAACCCGTACATCTCGACTCTCTTCATCTACTCTTTTTAATCTGTTTTCTATGTATCCAAGAAAATAGATAAAAGTGTAGAAATTTAATAGTGAACTTTCTATGTTGGCGAACTTTTAAATAAACATTTAATGCCCCATTTCCTGTAGATGCTCATGTTTCTAAATCGTACCGCTATCCCAATAAATTACGCTATTACCGGTTGCTTATCAATAACGATATTACTATCAATAAAATTACCCTATTCATTTCATAAATGAAAGTACGCGAAGGAATGAAAAGAGGAAGCAAGCTCCAAGTTCTCAGCTTTCATTCCTACGTCAAGCGTCTATGATAACATCTGTTACGATACGCGAGAGCCGATGGAGCAGCAGAATGAGCAGCGGCTTGGATCCGGGCCACTTGGATTTTTTCCGGTACTGCGATACTCAGGAATCCGCAGGCACAGGTTCGCAGCCATCGCACTCAGAAGATGAGACCATCTCGCATTTTGTAGCGTCCACGCAGAGCGTAGCATCCTCGCAAGTACTTCCTGACGGGAGTATCACGCTTTCAGTTTGTACCGCAGCCGTCATATCAAGAAGCAGCAGGATCAGAGGCAGGATCAGCAGAATTCTCATCTTCATGCAGGGAAGCTCTGAAGGTGTCAAGAATTTTCCGTATCTTCATACTTTTGCAAGAACAATTACCAAATTCTTCTACAGTTCACGCTTGAATTCTTCCGACGTTTTATTAGCAAAATTCAAGTGTATGTATTAATATAATTCAATAAAGGACTAGCGACGATTATTTGTATGACCACAACTGGAATGTGTGATAAACTAGTTTACCTAGCGTGAAGGCTTCGTACACGAATCCACCCTCTCGCGATGTCGACTGATGCTTCGTAATTACGGACGGTGATTCTTATACGCGTTCTTTCTCTTTTACTCTTCGATCGACGCGCGCTATCGCCAGGAATCATTAGCGGATCGTCTCGTAACGTCCGTTACGCGCGGTTGCTCCCGCGAAGGACACTCTCGACGATAAACACGTATCCCTCGTCTTCTTCTATTTTTACCATTCGCGCTCGAGATACCGCGAATGCAACGAAATTAATGAGGACCGACGCCCATTTGCGTCGTCTCGATTCGCTGAAAACAGCTGTTTCTGCTCGAGCTAGGTTCAATTATCAGATAAACCCACGATCCTTACGCGCTTCGAGTAAAGCGAGTACGGAATTTCCGAGTTCAGGAAATCATATATGAAGAATCGACCTCGGCGTAACTTAGGATTAGTGGACGTCTATTTCCTTGACTAGGAGTCTGTACGACGTATCAGGATTACTCCCGACTAGGAATTTATTAAAATGACAAGCAAGGTCCATTAAAATTGAATGTCTCCTATTATATCATTACAGCAATAATTCTTAAATGCAAAGAGCTGTGGCTGTTAATTAAAAAATTCTTCAGTTTCACTTGTAAATCGGTGGCATTCGCGTTCTCTCGAAAATGAAGATCCTGTTGGATCGAAACAGTGACACCATCGATTTCTCTGGAAACATGATCGATCGGTGACGGAGGGATATCGATGATTTTTGCAGCTGCACGCGGCCGCCTTGTCCTCGTTGCGGTCCGAGGTCACCGAGCTGAATTCAAGGTTGGTGGCGGCGACTAGGGCCAGGGAGGCGGCCGAGGCGGCTCTGGTCCGCGCGGAGGTGCAGACCGCGCGAGCGGAACAGAGGGCGGAACAGCAAGCGGCGAGGCACGAGGAGAGGCTTACCGAGTTGCATTCCGTGATCGCCGAGCTCGGCAGGCAACTCCAGAGGCATCGGGCTACCGTAATTGCCGAGGAGGATGAGTCCGGTAAGAAGAGAGAGAGAACGCGACCAATTCCGTAAATCTGTTCGACTCCCTCTGGACAGAGATTTATGGCTCGCGTGTTTGATGTTTCAACGCGTACCCCGTAGCGAGCCACTTCGCTCCTCGTTTTTCTGGCCACGTGGCCAAATTTTCAGATTGTATATTTATTTCAACGGGTCCTCGTTTTCCATTAATTTAACGATGAGCCTAGCTTTCGTTTACTATATTTTTTACATTCAAATGCATACTTTCGTATATTAGAAAAATTTATAAACTTATAATATTAAAAATTTATAAATTATTCGATCGATGCTAGGTAGATGTGTTAAGATCAAATGATTGGGATTCCATTCCCCTTTTGACGAATTATAGAGATAGAAACTAGTAGAGATGCAGAGGGATCTATCACCAATCCCGTGGAAGAGAGTGAAGCTGGTGGAGACATCCAAGGTGACGGTGACCGGACCTTAGGCGATGCCGACTCCAGTTGCTGCGAGGACATCGAGCCGCGGAACGCTGAGGTATGAATGCTAAGAGTGTACTTTAAAAGCGATACCAAACTAGGTCTCGCTCACAACGAAACTTAATGATAACGAGAAGAAACTTAAATGGCTAATCAAATTGAATTGCAATTCGCTCGGCGTAATTACACCGGAAACGAGTTGGGAACTTCAGCGAACTTTGGAAGTTTCCAATCTAAATGTTGCACCAGCGTCGGATGCGAAAGTTGGAAATCCGATTAATTCCCAGTTCGCCCGCGTAATTTAATAGGAATTAAGTAATAATTTGCGTGAGCAGAACGGCAGGGAGCAATTGGACAGTCCGGCAGCGTTACCAACGCCGGAGCCGACGCAGCAGGTGGCCTCGTGCCAAAGCGTCGTCGTAGCTGCGTTGCAAGAGGAGGTCACGACCCTTCGTGCCGAGATCGCGAGCTTGCAGGCTCAGCTGGCGAATTTCAAGAATCAGGCTAACAGTCAGAGGCAGCAAGGCAGCGAGTCGCCCCGCAGAGAGTCGCGGGTGGGTAGCAATTTGACCTATTCCAACGTCGTGAATCGCGTCCGCGTGATTTGCCCCTTCGCCCGCGGATATATTCCCAGACTGCAAAGAGCGATGAAAAGAAGATCGTTCTTTTCATCCTGATGGCAACCGAAATGCATTCTGCGGGCTTGAACGAATTTTTCGCGTGGTTACCCCCGGTGCTTCGGCCGGCCTTTGATCAGCCCACACTTTCGCAAAAATATTTATCAACCCTTCCGACTGTAATGTTTTCTTCCTTTGATTTTCTCGCAGACAAGAGGCAACACCAGCTCGCCGGAACCTTTGAGTGCACCTTGCTCGCCACTCTTGCCGCCCCTGCAGACACCGCCGACAAAGAGCGTAACGAGGGAGGAAGCTCCGGTTCTTAAAATAGCCGAGAGGGTGAGGCTCAGGAGAACCGACGAGAGGCACATCACAGGACCCGATATTACCAACCTCGGGGTACGTTGTCTACTCTCGGCAGACGTTCGAATTCGAATATCGAAACTTTATCTCGGACAGGTGTGCTCGACGATGGTGGCCGAGCATCTGGTATCGGATCTGCTGGACCACTCGAACATTCAAGAGTTGAACGGATCCGAGAAGCAATTCGAGGTGGAGACCGAGAGGCTGAACAGTCGATTGGAACACGCACGAGCGAATAACGCGGTACTCGCGTTGACTTTGCACGAGAGTAAGGCACAATGCGACAGGTACTTATTTGTCCAAATTTGCAAATCAATAAAAGCTAATGCACACGAAGTATGCAATGATTCTTGATATTTTCTAGATTGAGTCTTCTAGTGGGAAAGTACGAGTCGAATGCAACTGCTTTACGCTTAGCGCTTTCGTATAGTGATCGAGCGATAGAGGCTTACGACGTCCTAGTAGCGTTGCTAGAGAGCGAAATCGCTTTGTCTACCGAAAGGAATAGTATTACGATCGATAATAGAAGGGCAGCAGAACACGTGGCTTATCACGTCTTGAATAAATTGGAAAACGAGCGCATGAATACTGTGAACGCTCCATGGGAAGATAGCATAGTCTTATCGGACGAGTAAGTACGACGTAAATTCTGAAAAAAATGACGATTTTATAAAGTAGTTCGAAAACTCGTAGGTCCGAAGTGTCTTGGTCTGTAGACGACGAGCAAAGGCTTAGAAGACACATCAGTAGATTAAAAGGAGAACGAGCCATGGTCAGATCGACAGTAATGGAATTAGAAAGCGTCCACGTTGAACCTTTGAATTCTAAGAACACCATTTCCCTCGCCGAGGCTCGGAAGTTAGATTTAGAAACCGCTGTACTTATGCAGGTTCGTTCGCTTTACCGCTTACCCGAAGATTTCAAGGATCTATGAACGCAGCTGATTTTATCGTCGCGCAGGAATTGATGGCTATGCGAGAGGACAAGGCAGAGCTACGGGCACGCGTTTTTCTGTTGGAGAAGGAACGAGCTACCATAGAGTTAAAGTTGAACGCGCGTGATACGCAAATCGCAGCTCAACATGCTGCCATTGAACATCTGCAAGGACAACTCGCCGATACCGAAGCCATGCTGGCAATGGCTACGAATAAAGTAAGAACTCCGGTCGAAAATAAAGTACTTCTTGTTTCGAATGATTCAACGTGAATTATGTGCAGGATCGAGGTTTGAGCGATAACGAGAGCGAGGGTATGGAATCTGAATTAATAGAGGCTCTAGGTCGGGAAGCTAGACTGAAGGAACGTCTGCAGGAATTAGTTTCTACCTTAGATAAAGTTAACAAAAATTCCGAGCTGAGGCATCAACAATCGGCCGAGCTAGTTAACGATTTGAAGAGAGCTAATGGGTAAATAAATCGTAAATGAATTTAAATCACGTTTGATCACGTTTCGTTACCTCGCGATGTATTTATATCGTTTTCAGAGCCCTGGTACAAACTTTAGAAAAGTCTAAGAAGAAATATCAGTCCAGGTTGAAAAAGTTGGAACAGCAAATGTTGGGCATGGTAGAGAGACATGCTGCGCAGGTATGAACATAAATGAGTGGTGTGTGATGTGGAAGAAAGTTAAGAAGAACTCGCAATTGTGTTTATACATTTGTAAAACATAATTTATTACACTTTGTACATGTTTTCGCATAAATTACATTTTTCATGCCTTTGGTAAACTACGTCAGTCTTCGGAAGACCTGTGTAGGTAAAGAGATGTTACTAGAACTGTTGTTGCGAAGTAATACTATTTTCTGGGAACATACTTACGAGATCCAGTTTGTTTCCTTATCTTTTCAACATCAATGATCGTTCACCCGTTCACCATTTCTTGTAATCTTTGTTCGACCGCTTCTTCTATTCTTCTCTTTTTGTAAGTTTTATAAAAGTTAACCTCTCCGACGTGCCAGTTTATCATAAGAAACTCCAACGTAGCACCCGCAACAAAGAATAGTGGTATAAGGCGAAACTCTCCAAGAAATTTGAAAGGTAGGCGACTATAAAGTCTACGAATTCCTCTCTTTAAACTCAGCATTGAAAACAAAGTCAATCCTGTACACTGTAACAAGTCTCGTGTCATACGATCGTCGCCATCTTATCTCTCGGCATCGATTCTGCGTAGTTGCACTCTTATCACCCGAAACGAAATCATTTCAACATTTAGTTACGATCAGTTCTCTTTTCACTTTCCTTTGAAACGTCTGTTAATTGATTTATAGGTAAAATCTCTAAAACAACGGATAACATTGCTTGAGGAGGAATCGACAGGATACAAAACGAGTTTACCACTACAGTCGCAGAGTTCTGGCGCCAGCGAAACATCGTTATGACAATTCAGTGATTAAACCGCGGGCTCTACGAGTGTTTTTTACGATCCTCACTACGGAAATAAAATTTACATATTTTTTTACATGAATAGTTGCCCAAAAGTAATTCTTGATTATTCGCTTTTGTAATTATATATGAGAAAAAAAAGGAAAAGTACGAATTAGTAGCTGTCCTAATAAACTAAATTACACGAGCTAGGCTTTTATGCACGAAAATTACGCTGCTGATACATCGACGGAAACAAAACTATTTAAGAAAGTCCTCCAAGTATACTGTGAGTTATAAATAATTATGTTACACGCGATAATCTATGTCATTTATAGACGGTGATATTCATCCTGTAAATATGTATATTTCAAGCATTAAAGAAAAACGTGATATGTGTAAACTATGACGAAATAAATTGTGCTTTATTAAGTCTGGTACCTTTCAAATGATCCTTTGATAAACATTAATTTCAAATAGTGACACGTACTACACGTGAAGTATATTGCATGAAAGTGGGTACATAAATAATCTTGGAGAATCTTACAATTACAATCGATTTATTAAATTAATATATACAATTAATTTGTTACTACATGTCAACTAGAATCTTGTCGTTCTGATAGTCTTTTCTTTACTGCTTCTTCTATAAGATCATCTAAATCGTCGAGTGGTTTGTAAATAACGTGGACACATTGGGAACCACTGGCCATTGCAAGAGCTGCTAACGTAATGAAAGAAAGAAATTTCGGCCACGTCATACCATAGGGCATTTTTTAGATTATCTGCAAGTTTTCATTGAATAGGAAAATTACGTTTCCGTAATGAATCATACACGTACTTCGAGATTCTTATATCGTCTCGAATACTAACCTGTTTTTCTAACAGTCCGGTGTTTCGTCAATAAAAACGAGAAGATATTCGTATTTTAATAAACTATGTTTCTCAGTTATGTGTTTTTCTCCGTCTGAGAGTGCTGTTAATTTATTCTCATAGATCGTGCACAGAAACTACAACTTCCTCGTGATGTTACACTACACTCTATTTTCATCATACAAAAGTGTATGATAGGACAGTTCGAACAAGTTTCCAATTGGTTTTAAATAAAATTAACATATTTATTCATATTTTCATAAACATACAAGACACAATCATTCACAGTTTCATACAATATTTTATTTACACATATTTTTAAGGTTCTTGATTTTCTTGCTCTTGATGATCCATTTCTGATGCCATAACCTCGGTTGCACTTTTCCCTGGGACATCGGGCTCTTCTTCTCCCGGCACATCACTGATTTCTACAGCCTCACCCTTGTTCAGCACTGACTTTTGTATTTCTTCTTCTAAGTGAACACAAGCCTGTTCAATCTCATAATTCTTTGATACCAATCCCACCCACTGTGCTTCCAATGCTCTCAGCTTCTCTCCTCCTTGGGTTTGCATCGATTTCCTTTGCCAGTTGACCTCTTGAATCTTTTTTCTTAAGCCTTGCAACTGTTTCTGAGCTTGGTTTACCAATTGTACCAGTACTTCCAAATAAGATTTCCATGCCTCGCAACCATATTCCATCATCAGTTCGAGATTACAGATTCTGGAACATTACAAACCGATGCAATATGTGCATAATCGAAGTACATAAAGTAATTAGACAGAAAAATGTATATACCTCGTAGCCTGATGCTCTAATTGTGCACTACTGTTCTCGACGCTTTCATTCCAAGCAGACAGATCATTCATTTTACCTGGAGGTGGTGGAGGCAATTCATAACGTTTCATACTGAGTACCTCCATAGGTAAACGATTCTGCATTCGTTCGAATTCGTGTTTCATTACTTCAGTTTCGAAAGCATTAATATTTAGTGGTGGTAAGTGTTCCAAGTAATTTTTCGTCGGTCTATAACGCCGCGTTTCTTCCTCGACCATTGCCAAAGCCTAAGTTTTATTAAACATAAAAATTATCATGAATTCTTAGATATAAAAATAACCTCGAACTCTTTTCACTGTATTTTTCTACGAAAAGATCTTATTTACCGCTTCTCTGACTCCTGGTTCATCGTATCCTTGGTCAATGTATGGTAACGCGTCGACTATAACTTCTCCAGCCATTTAACAAGAGTTTGACAAATTGTAACTTGTGTACGATAGTTTTCGACTCGTCTCTCATTAAATTGGAGACAACAAACTTTGAATTCCCTTCATATTTTCGATTTTCTCTTAGGGCAGCTCTTTACCAATCGTTATATTCTATTTCCGATGAAACCGTGCTGCTGTCTTACATTACAATTAGCATTTCTGTAGTAGTTCTTCAAAGGAAAGCATTATAAATTATTTATTTCAGCATGTATCATTTGAGTAATACATAATTAATAGTGCATGGATCTTTTTAATAATTTATTTCTGACATAAATGTAAACGGAACTTGAAGAAGAGCTGCGCTCTGAGCATGCGTCAGTAGTGATGTGTAATGTGTAACTTCCGTTTGCGTCCTTCTTCCTTTACGACCAGGTAAGGCATACGAGCTGCCTGGTTCGCTGATATCTGATGCGTGAAAAGTTGTAAAAAGGACGCCCGATGGTAAGAATTTTCATGTATTCTTTTAAGTTTACTGCGACTTAGTACTCACTCCAATTTTATTGGTGTAATACCCTGTGATTCGTAAGAATTTCTTATTGAACGTAGAATCGTACCCACCGCAAAGCTGACCACGTGTAACGATACTAGTTTATACACTAGCCTTTCTTAGTTCCGTAATACGTTTACATATAACTTCTGATTTCGTTTTCTTCATTTTTATTCATTATTCCTCTAATGAAATGAAGTTCTTTTTGATGTATGAGCGTTTGTATAAAATCTGTAATTTCCATTTTGTCGTCCGCCATGTGCCGTACTAACTGTTCAGTATGGCGTTCGTAGCCTATCACAACATAGAATTTTATGTCGTTTTCCCTCCGTCTGGTTATTGGTTTCGATCGTTTTTAAGTTAGTAGTTCATTTCGAAATTGTTTTCTACTTCACAGTCGTTATCAACGGCGAGACCTCTTGTTACGGTGTACACCGACAAGAATGAATCTTCGGAAGATACAATTTCCTTACCGGCTGTATTCAAAGCCCCAATCCGACCTGATATTGTGAACTTTGTTCATCAACAAGTTTCAAAAAACAGTAGGCAGCCCTACTGTGTGTCTAAGGAGGCTGGTGAGTGAACTGTTTTATAGTTCCGTTTCCTTTGTCTCTCGAAGAACTAATAAGCAATTATTAAAAATTGGTTTCTTTTCATAGGTCATCAAACCTCTGCTGAGTCATGGGGTACTGGACGTGCCGTCGCACGTATCCCCCGTGTGCGAGGCGGTGGTACCCATCGCTCTGGCCAGGGTGCGTTTGGCAACATGTGTAGAGGTGGACGCATGTTCGCACCGACAAAACCGTGGAGACGGTGGCACCGTAAAATCAATGTGAATCAAAAGAGATACGCATTGGTTTCTGCCATCGCTGCATCTGGTGTTCCAGCCCTTGTACAATCTAAGGGTCATATGATTCAGGAAGTCCCGGAGTTCCCACTAGTTGTATCTGATAAAATTCAGGAGTACAACAAAACAAAACAAGCAGTAATCTTCCTCAGGCGTATGAAAGCATGGAACGATATCCAAAAGGTACGTTCACTCCTTTAATCATTTGTGCACCCTTCAATGTCCGCATCTTTACTAGAACAATGTCTATTCAGATGCTCCTATCAGGTGCTAAATAAATATGGTTAATAGGTGTTCTTGACTAGCTGAATTAGTTGCTAGAAAAGGGTATATTCAACCACACAAATTAAAATATATTTAAACTACAGTGCAATCATATTTTTATTTCGTCCGCAGGTATACAAGTCTCAACGTTTCCGTGCTGGTAAGGGTAAAATGCGTAACCGTAGGCGGATACAACGTCGCGGACCTCTGATCGTGTACAACCAAGATCAGGTACGCAAGTTTTATTATATGCATTAATAACTTTTCGTTCCTGTATAAATATCTTAATGATGAATTGCTGGTCCGTGTTGCTGAAATGACGTTGATTTTATTAATAGCATTTTTACTGATAACGAACACTTCGTTACACGAATTTGATTAGAAGTAGAACGATAGTCCAATCGTGTTCTTGTATTATGTTCAGGGTATTCGTAAGGCGTTCCGTAACATTCCCGGTGTGGACCTTATGAATATTAATAAAATGAATCTGCTGAAACTGGCGCCTGGTGGTCACGTTGGGCGATTCGTGATTTGGACAAAATCCGCTTTTGATAAGCTGGATGCTCTTTACGGAACCTGGCGCAAAGAATCCCAGTTGAAAGCAGATTACAATTTACCTTTTCCGAAAATGGCGAATACTGATCTCTCCAGACTTCTAAAGGCTGAAGAAATCCGCAAAGTATTGAGAGCGCCAAAGTACGTGGATTCGCGTTATTATATTTACGAAATCCTTAAAGTGGAAATATTTATCACAGATGAACTTTGAACTTGCAGGAAGAAGGTGGTTCGCAGCGTAAAGAAACTGAATCCATTGACCAACACCCGCGCGATGTTGCGTCTTAATCCATACGCTGCTGTTCTGAAGCGCGCGGCAATCTTGACGGCGAGGAAACGCCAACAAGAGAGGGATATTCTTCTCGCGGAGAAGCGTGGCGTAAGTTAGCTTCTTACTTCCGAGCAATCTCTAGTTTATACAGAATATGAAAACTTTCTTCGTTCGCAGATCAAGCTGCCGAAGAACACGCCCGCCGTGAAGACTAAGTTGCTTCAGGAGAGACGTAAGAAGCAACTTTTAGCCGCGAAGAAAGCGAAGCCTAAGAAGATAATCACGAAGAAGGCTTCTACTCCCGCACCAGTGGCAAAACCAGCGAAGGCGACAAAGACCGAGAAAACAGCAGCAAAGAGCGCAACGAAAAAAGCCGCGCCTGCTAAAAAGTAATAATTTTTTATCAACAACTGGTTGTTGACCCATGAACTTTATTTGTTTTGAATAAAATGTGGGAAGACGACTATAGGGTGAATCTTGCGGCGGCCTTGTATTTCCTTCCAATCTTCGGTACGAGAGTCAGTATGAGTGTTACGTATGTCTTTTTTTACGCGGAGCTCGCATAATTATCGTGTCGTTAAGCATTTCTATCGATACTTCTTTCGCGTTAGCTTCTGCCGGTATGAGGAAGTTCAGATTCCTAATGTTCGACAAGTCCTTTGAACTGTGCAATTTTATGTTCAACAAGTTCTCTGTGGCTAAAGTAGCTGTTCCTACTTTCATCCCTTCGGTCTTCATTTCCGCCTACAAGTACACAAGGCATTAATCAAACGAACAGTTCAATCGAATCGTCGAACGTACGGCGTAATATTCTCTGTCTTCGATGACGTAGAAACCGGGAACTTTTTCAAACGTGACACCCATTTTGTGACCGTTCGTCATCATCTCGAGGTTCATGTACTCGTTTCGCTCTAAAATGATTGCGTTCTCTTGACAATGCTGCGGTAGTTTGTCCATTATAGAATGTGAAACAGGAACTGGGTTAAGTTTAAATTTTTCACGGGTCAACCGAAGTGCACTGATTAATCTTGACATCGATCGCTTGTCATTTATCTTATCAAACTTTGCATTTTCGATTGCTCATAGCTTCGTGCGAGAAGAGCGAATATTACTTCTCAGCTCTTCTCTACGTTCTTCTTCGCCTTGTTAAATTTCAACGTAGGTGCCGTGAGTACGAGCATCCTGTTTTTATTGTCCACCACTGCTCGAACTTTCGCGCTGTCGATACCCTCTGGTATGAGCAGATTCTCAGCGTGCCTCATCATTTTCTTTACCAATTCGCCTAGCACCGATCTCTCGCTAATATCGGGCAGGTGTTTAGCGAACTGATCGTTCAATGGTTTGCACACGTTAATGCGAAGATTGTTCCCTTTTACGGTGATTTTGATAGAAGACAGGTCTACTTCCGGCGACAGATACATTTTTGCCTATGACAACAATAGCTGTATCACTTATATTTAATTCAATTTAGTAGCCAGTTATGAGTTAATTGAACCTCGTAGATGTTGTCCGGCCGAACTCCGGTGGACACGATTTGCATCACATAGTTGACCACGTCCAGTCTTTTAGACATCTTGTCGTTTCTCTTAAACTTCGAGTTATTAAAGTATTTCAATGAACTCGAACACTTGGGACAGTCTGTAATTATGCCATCCTCGTCGTATTTGAAACAATTCCTTATGTCCATTTCTCAGACGCCCTCGAAGTATGAAGCATCATCGTGGCCGATTCGATTATTAAAGATAAAATCGTGAGCGTTGAAAGGATCCGACAGGAAATTTGCCACGATGTCGTTAGATAGGTGAAATTCACTGGTTAAAACGTGGTCGCTCCTGGTACGATAGGTTTACTTGTCAATTTCGAAACTGTGTCGAAATGACAGACGACTATCGCTGGGTAAACAAAATAATGTAGGCACGTTTTAAATATTTCATTTTCCTAATATTATCGAGCGTGAATTGATTTCGCCCTTAATGGGACGGCGAGAGCCGTATTTAATCTCGTCACCGCGGTTAATTACGATCCGCTAATCGGAGCAAATTTACAATTGGAAGTGGTCGATCCCCTTTCCTCGGGGGCGAACGCGCCGAATACCGGGGTGGACCTTGTACAAGCAGCCACGGTTTGTTTAACATTCGTGTCTGCATTGTTTGAAACGCCTGCGCGAATTTCCTTGGGAATGGACGCGCGCCTGGTAGGGGTAGCGCGGGATTCAGGGTCGAAATTGCACGGTGGTTGAAAAGCATCGGACACCAGTCGAGGACAGGCGGTCTCGCGTTTAACTGGTCCATCAATTCCATGTCGCCTCTGGTCCTGTTCTTTCATTACGGAGTTCTGGCCATCATTTTCGGGAACGGTAAGTCATTCAATCTATCCCGATTGCACCCACTTCGCCGTAAACTGTCTTCCAAATTTTACAACTAAGCAATTTTGAAAATTAGAAAAATCTTTCCCAATTTATTAATCGCACGATTCATTTTACCGTTGATATTATTCTGTTCCGATGATTTATTATTTAATTTAGCAATTGTTTGAAAAAGTTTCACATGCAATATTTAGTTGTCTCGTTTTGAAACTTCTGGAATGACTCTTGGTTTTCGAAGTTAAAAAACAAATAGATCCGAGCAAGAAAAATTGTAAATTTCGTTGAGATTATGAAAAGCCTGCAATCTCGTTTGCATGCGAGATTCAATCTGATGCGTAGCCGAGATTGAAGGAGGGAAATACTGATTAAGAAGGACGGTCCCGCGATTAAGGCCAATTTCTTGTGTCTGCCCGATAACTAGATTGCTCCGATCGACAGGATTTCCCGAAGAGGAATTTCACGAGCACCGCTTGAGTTGTAAATGAGTTTCCCTGACTTCGAAAATTTTCCCGCCCCCGAGTGACCAGTTAAGTCGACCGAATTCGATTTCATCTTCAACTTCGCTGTTTGTATCTTTTCTCATCGTTCGGCCGCGTTTCGTCGCCTCGAAATCTCGCCCCCTCCCTACGTCGCATCGTTGCATACTATTTTTCTATGGAAAATCGAGCGAGTTCGTGAATATTTCATTTCATACGCGAGACAGCTGGGCCGCAGCTTTTCCCTCGGAACAATATTCCATTTGCCGCGAGGATTTTTCTTCGTCAAGACGTCGGCGAAACTTCGGGGTTTCGGTGTCAGGCGAGATTTCCCCTGTTTGTTCTGTTAACGGGATCCGGTCTGAGCGTTTCTCGTTAGGATGCAAATAACAAATGGTCCGCAACTTCCTGCCGTAGATAGCTCGCCCCCTCAACATTTCGTGGAAATAAACAACTCCGAGTCGCAGGTTCAGCCACCGAAAAATTATAGAGGCGTGCGCAATTCGTGGCTGATAATTTCTTATCTGCTGATAATTCTTTCTCTAAGAGTAATGCCGTACGTTTTCTTCAAGCTCTAATCTAATTCCATTAAGAAAATACAGCCAGTTCGTGGGACGGCGAATTTAAACAAATGTTAACAACGAAATAATGCGATACTTTCGAGCTACGTATAAAATCTCTAGCAGTAACAGAGCCGATGACAATTGTTTACCTGGGAAATAAAAAAGGTATTTAAAGCAGCAGATTTAAAAGGCAAGGGAATATCGGAGGGAACGAAGGTTTCCCGATAACACTGGTTTCATATCAACGAGTGTCCGCGAATTACCGTGCAATCCAGGACGCTTGAGAATACAGATTCGAGCATCGATACACGATCGATGCCCGGTAAACGCGCGACACCCTCTCCGTTCGCTCTTAGAAATATCGTGAAATAAAATGCCAATGGGAAGATCGTTGCAACTTGTAACGAGATGCTACTTTAAGAAATTCCATCGAAGCGGCTAAAATATCTTCGTACGTACCCAGCCTTTGACTCTACGAGGTAGAAATTTCGCTGGGAACATATTTGCTCAGGAGAAGGAGAAAGATCAAAGAAATGAGATAAAAAAATATTTATTTGGCATTGCAAAGAGAATCCTCTTTATCGTTTGATCGAAACGAAGTTAAGGGAATTCGGGAGCAATTAATGGTTTGCCTCTGGTCGTCGATCACACTTGCCGTAACTAATGATTCCCGGTGTTGCGTGGTAAACAAACAGATCGATCTGCGGGGTGGACGTGTCACGGGCGAGTCAGTGAATTTCTGGCGGTGGTGAGTATGCAAATTCCGGGGATGTTCCAATCGTGAATCATCAGCGAAACGACGTCTGCGAACGTTTACACGGGAGGCCAACGTAAACGTTTGACAGCGAAGTTCCGGGCTGCGTCGCCTAAAGAAAACATAAGCTCGGCTCCGAATGAACGCAAACTCAACAATCGTTTCTTTAACAATTCTGCCCATTTGTTCGCTTCGAAAAACGCGTCGCTTGCGAATCATGATTTCACCCGTAAGAGTCGTTGACACATACATTCGCGTTTTACTCTTTAACGAGAGATTTTCCAATTTGGAGATCGAACTGGCTATCGATGTTTAATTATGATCAATTGCAATTTGTTTCGTACATCGAAAAAAGAATTTGGGTCATAGAGAATTGAATCCGCTTAAGCGGATTAAAAATAAATTCCTGCTAGCCACTTGTGACAACTCCGCGTATAAATGTACGATTTGATGGATCGAATGCGGGACTTAGCGCGGAAATGGGAGAAAAAGAAAAGCGCGTAGCTGGTCGAATTTTACGCGCTTGGTAGCAGTTCGCGCGTCGATTGGTAAGTACGAAAGCGCGGATTTGCTGCTGGAAAACAGGATGGACAGAACTTTCGGTGACGAAGGAAAAACCGGATTTAAATGTCTTTTAAATGCCGCATGTAAATGCCGCGCGTTCAAAAAAAAAAACGTATGGAAGAGCCTCGATGCGCTCAACTTCGTCCGGAAATTATCGATAGTCGCAAAATATGAAGCGTAAAGACGACGACGAAAAAAGATAGTAATATCAGGGAAAGTTGGCTACGTTAAAATTAGACCCCTCCGCTTTTCACTTGATCGAGCTCGTCTAATTAGACCACCCTGTACCCTATTAAAGGGCCACGAAATGAGAAATTCGTGGCAACGATTTAAGGATGTATTGGCTATACAGTCAATCCCAAAAGTTGATGTACCTTACAAAAACGCATTTCCTGTAATTAAAAAGAAATCAGACGTCGGAAGAATAATGCTGATAATAAATAGCTACGTGCTAAAAAGTATAGAAGGAAATATCCAATTAAGTATTGACGCACGATACATCCTTAACTGTTCTAAGTAAAAAATTCCTGGACGAACGATGCGTACGATCTCTGAATAAATGCGAAACGACGTTCCTTGAGAGGGGAAGAAAAATTGTTAGAACGCGACTGCTGTAGCTTTTTGAGGAGGCCGACGATGGTGGTTATAAAACGATTGAGAAAAAACGTGATGCTGGGCGGACACCGCGACGTATGACGTCGATTTAACGATCGGAATTAAGAGGGTTGGGGAGAGAATTCCTTGAACCATGTGTCAGTCGCGCGACCTTACACCCCACAAAGATTCAACTGTGACAGGGATCATCCCTTTCCTAGACATTTTCCGATCGAGGGAAGGAAAAGCGCATTTCCGAAGAGACAAATCTCTGACTTCGCATTCGGAGAATAAGATATTATTCTCGAGTAATCTTTGTGTCGTCAAAGGAGCTCTTTCGTTAATTAATCGTGACCATCGGCCACGCTCTTTGTCGACCGGTGACATCGTCTCCAAGAGATCCTTTATCTAATTGAAGTTTGACTGCGACGCCTGAGCTTTCGGGGAAAGATGGGACGGGTGGAAGATCAGCTGATCTACAGAAGGGCTTCCCGCGTTTCGGGATACAATAGCCACTTCTTCCATGGGACGAAAGCTTCTACGTACAGATCTGAAACGCTATAATGGATAGCCTCGATGTAACGAATGGAATTAGATTCGTGATTAGAGACAGGCTATCTTCGTCACGTATGTAACTCGTCCGATTTGCTACGAGCTATTCGCGTGATTCGAAACGCTTAATTTTCGTACGAAAAAAGAACGATAAGACGAATGTCTGTTCACGAAGGGACAGAACGTCGAAATTAAAATCGAAACGGAAAATCCATTAACCGCGGGAAGAATGTACAAATGATTCAATTTAATTTCGTTGAATATCGGACAAGGTCCACTCGTACATGCTTTTGCAGGTTTCGGGGATGAACACGAATACAGACTGACGAAGTATCTGCTCGATGGATACGACGCCGGTGTACGGCCGGCTAAAAATTCCTCCCAACCGTTGGCGGTCGTCTTTGGTCTCTCCCTTCACCATATAATCGACGTGGTGAGTAGTCGAACGAAGAAAAATAGAAGACACCGACCGTATTTCTTATATAACGAGTGTCGAATATGAAAATGATACGAGGGTGGCAAATTTTGTTAAATCCCTGTGGAAAAATTGATGTTCGTACGGTCGAAGAGAAGTTCTCTCGAGCGCGAATTCTTGAGAGGCGACGAAGAAAATACACCCTTTGACGCCGGTGAAACATTACGCACCCGCGCGAAAACCGTGATAACGCGGAACTAACTAAAAATCGCGGAAACGCACGTTTGCCGCAATCGCGTTCCTTATTTCTCCGAGAAATTCAGGTCGAATCTGTGAGTCACGCTAATTTCCACTTTTTTAGCGTAGCCCGGAAAATATCGATTTATATTCATCACGGTGTATTTCCTTCGATGACGCTGGGCCGCGTTGACAGTCGAAAAACCTCGTGGGAGATATAGTCAAGAGGCCCGTGTAATCAGAAATACCCAAGACAAATTGCAGCCAGAGCCCCGTTGGGAGCTTTCAATGATTTATCTCGCACTTAACGAGAATCATCTTTCACGCGACGTATTTTCTTCGTTGGCGACTTCCTTTTTTTTTTTTTAATGGACGCTCCAGTTTCCGTTAGCCATGAGCTCTTCCGTGTACAGGACGAGAAGAACCAGATACTGACGACCAACTGTTGGGTGACGCAAGTCTGGACGGACCATCATCTGAAATGGAACGCGTCGGAATTCGCAGGAATCACAGTGATCCGTGTTCCTTACAACCGCGTCTGGAGGCCAGACACGATCTTATACAACAAGTATAAAAATTTTTCGTTAAACGATTCTTCCGAACTTTACCGATTTAATTATAAAAATGTTCGATCAATTGTTAAACGAATGATCGATTCGTTTTGACGAGTCCTTGCGGATTTTCTGTAACAGTGCGGCGTTATACTATAAAACAGAAGTTTTGGTATTGATTGGCTGCAGCAGGGCCGCGGTGATTTCTTCTATCCGGTAGCAGCCTATATTTTCGGCTTTGTTTATAGCGCAGATCCACAGTACAGTTCGGCAGTCATCAATACGAACGTGATTGTCAGTCACACGGGGAAGGTGGTCTGGTTGAGCCACGGGATTTTTCGCAGCAGCTGCGACATCGACGTAGAATTCTTCCCCTTCGACGAGCAACGCTGCGTCCTGAAATGGGCCTCCTGGACGTACGATGGATATCAGGTAAGGTCATCCTCCGAGGAAATTTTTTCGTCCCGTTCATTGCATTTTTATTTACTTAAAGTTGCATGAATACATAAAAGCAATTACAAAGCATTGAAATTTTAACAGTTACTGGATATTACATTAATGAAACTATGTACAAAATTTTA